TGAGAGACGGGTTGCCTTGGGTAGGGGAAAAGTTATATATACCAACAACCCAAAGAATCACGTTCATGCAGCTTTGCCATGACACAAAATCAGCAGGGCATTTTGGATTTGTAAAAACTTTACATTTAATTAAACAGCAATTTTGGTGGCCATCCATGAAAAAGGACATTGAAAGTTATATAGCCAGTTGTCCAAAATGTGCCACGGCAAAGAGGTTGCAAGGGAAAGTGCCAGGACTATTGCAAACAGTGGCACGTCCCTCAGCCCCCTGGAGAGAAATAGCCATGGATTTTATAGTGGAATTGCCAGAAAGCAATGGGAATACTGTGGTCTGGACGGTCACGGACTTGTTTTCCAAACAGGTGCAATTTATCCCTTGCCAAAAGATTCCCACTGCAAAAGCCTTAGCAAAACTTTTCATCCAGCACATTTACAGATTGCATGGGGCACCCCAACGCATCATCTCTGACAGGGGGGTGCAATTTACGTCTGCATTTTGGAAGGAATTTTTATCCCTCTTAGGAACCACTCAGGGGCTGACATCTAGCCACCACCCACAAGGAAATGGGGAGGGGCCTGAAAAAATGAACTCCGTACTTAAGCAATATTTAAGATGTTTTCTTAGTTTCCAGCAGACCGAGTGGGCGGACTTACTCCCCTTTGCAGAAGTTGCCTACAATAATGCAGTCCACTCCAGCACAGGTTACACTCCTTGTCAAATAGCCACCGGTCAAAGTTTCAACCCCATGCCAGAATTAACCCCAAACGAACCAACGATCCCCTCGCTGAAAGAATGGATGGAGAAATTACAAAACACCTGGCCAATAGTCAGAAAAGCACTAGAGGAAGCTAGGCAGGCATATAAAACACAAGCCGATAAAAAAAGGGTTGAGCCTACACCATTCATTATAGGAGAAATGGTGTACTTATCTACAAAATACCTAAAGTCCCTACAGCCCTGTAAAAAACCTGGACCAAAATATATAGGGCCTTTTCCAATTAAAAGAATCATAAACCCAGTAACAGTAGAATTAGAATTACCCAAAAATCTCAGGCAAATACACCCAATTTTTCATTGCAGCTTGCTGAAAAGAGAGCATCAGTCACCTCTACGGCCAAAAATCCCCCCACCACCACCTCCAGTCATGGTGGAGGGTGAACAACACTTCGAAATAAAAGAAATCCTTGATTCTAGGAGATATCATGGAGCAACTCAGTACCTAGTTGCCTGGAAACACCTCCCTCCCTCACAAAACGAGTGGGTCCATAAACGGCATGTCAGAGCCCCGAAGCTATTGAAGAAGTTTCACACAGAGTATCCTAACAAGCCTGACTAAGTGTTATACCTGTTTTGTTTTCTTTCAGGTGGATCTCTCTTATTTGTAAGAGGGGTCGGATGTCAGAATCCAATTATATTTCATCTTTAATCATCAAATATAGAAAACCCCAATTCTGCCTTCTCTGGATTCTGCCATAAGAGGGAGAGAAGGGGGAGAACAAAGGGGCTTTATGGCCCTCACTTCCTTCAGTACACTTCAAAGAGCTGAATGCTGAATGTGTGTTTATTGTAACATCAAAGCGTTAGCACTAGAGGACCTTATCATAACAAAGAAGGGTATTTGCCTTTCATGTAGTTACCTGAAGTCTCCATCCAGACGGAAGAAAGAAGAAAGGGGGTGGAATTGTGATACTTGAAACTATCACTGGAAGGGGGGTTGATTGGGTGGGACTACTGGGGAACCCCTTAAAAACTTGAATGGGAGAGCTTGAACCCCAAGTCCTGTCTAGCATGCCTGCAACCATTTTCTCTTAATAAAGGATTCCTGTTGGAAGAATTATTCCAAGAGTTCTGTCTTCTTAAGATGCAAAGTGGGGTGGGTCCTTACACTCTTCATGGTTGCCCAGGGAGAGATGTATTGGCAGAGTGGCTAGGGTAGCTGGCACCCCCCCTGCTATGGATCCATCTAGCTGGCCAAATGAGATTGGTTGTTCCAGTCTCCTGGATGGGATGCCCAGATTCCCCACTAGTGTTGCGCTAATGAGGCAGCGGGTGCAGCCAGAGTCTATTAAGGCTTTCACCTTCACAGCTTCGGGCATGGGGGGGATTAATATAGTCACTGTTTTGAAGATGGGTGTGATGCATCCACTTACCAGGGGTTCGCCCTCCGAGCTGTCATCTGAGGCATCCACTGGCCCTGTGGTGTAGGCTGGAGTTCTTTCCCCTTGGTGAGCAGAGGTGGGGGTTTCTGCAATTTCCATCATTCTCATGGCTGTTTCTTTTGGCTTAGCTGACTACTTTCCGGGTTTGTTGATTGGGGATCTGTCTGGGTTGTGCTGGGGGGCCTTTGAGCGGCATTCTACAGCTCGATGCCCTTCTCTTCCGCACTTGAAACACCCCATTTGCTTCTTGGCTGTATCCGATGATTTCACCGGTTGGTGTGTCAGCTCAGGCGGGGGGCGGCTCCATTGTTTTCCTCTGCGGCGCCTCTTCAATGTGTCGATCTCTGCTTCCTCTGCCAAGACGTACCATTCCTCAAGTCGATGTGGGTCCCCTCGGGGCAGGCAAGCATCATATAGATCATAGTTTAGTCTGTCTTTGAAATGGCCAAGGAGGATGTCTTCTGGCCAATTCAGTTTGCTGGCAATGGCCCGGAATTCTTGTGTATACTCAGCCACTGGGCGTTTGCCTTGCCTCATCGTTGTTATTCTTTCACGGGCTTTGTGATCAGCCAGGGGGTCTTCAAATCGTCTTCTCAAAGAGGACATGAAACGGTTGAAGTTTCTGAGTTCTGGGGCATTGGAGTCATGCAAGTTCACTACCCAATCCGCAGCTGGTCCATCCAGGGCAGATTGCACGATCCGGATGCCGGCTTTGTCGCTGGGAATGTCCTGCCCATATTCCTCCATGTAGCTGAGGACTTGGGTTAGGAAAAACCCCAAGCGTGTTGGCTCCCCTTTGAATTTCACCTCCAACGGTGAACGTCTTGGAATGGATCGGTACCTCCATTGTTGGTAGTAGTGTCTTCCGTCCAGATTGCCATCTGTGGTCCGGTAGGGGGTGGGGGCTCCTGGATCAGTAGATGTCCCTGGGGTTGCAGGTTCCACGTCCCCCTCGGTGTCTCTCCCTTTGTGGCTACAGGAACTGGGGCGGCCGTAGGGCTCAGTATTCTCCTCTCCTAGGGAGCTGAGAGTTCTCTTCATCAGGTCAATAGCTTTCTCTAGGATCCAGTCTGAGTACGGTGCCCCGCTTCCTCCCTCTTCACTTGCGTGCAGGGATTTCTCCATCTCCTGCTTCCATTCTGGTTGCTTGGTCCCCCGTCTCAGGGTCACCTTTCTTGATTCCTTTCTCCACTCACTTTTCTTTCCAACGCCCATCGACCAGCGAGGCTTGTGGTCCTGTGTCTCCACCACTTCTTCTCCTGAGGAATCTGGCCTCTCGGATCCCAACATCTGGCAAGGTTCCAACTGGGTCAGCGGCTCTCTTTCCAGGGCGTTTTCCCCCTCTTTTGCTCCATTGTCTGACATGGTAAATTTTTGCAAAATCCCCCGGCAAGGGTCTCCCTTCCAGGTGGATTAATTTTGCAAGTCCTGTCTAACGTAAGGACCCACCCCACTTTGCATCTTAAGAAGACAGAACTCTTGGAATAATTCTTCCAACAGGAATCCTTTATTAAGAGAAAACGGTTGCAGGCATGCTAGACAGGACTTGGGGTTCAAGCTCTCCCATTCAAGGTTTTAAGGGGTTCCCCAGTAGTCCCACCCAATCAACCCCCCTTCCAGTGATAGCTTCAAGTATCACAATTCCACCCCCTTTCTTCTTTCTTCCGTCTGGATGGAGCAGTGATAGCTTCAAGTATCACAATTCCACCCCCTTTCTTCTTTCTTCCGTCTGGATGGAGACTTCAGATAACTACATGAAAGGCAAATACCCTTCCTTGTTATGGTAATGTTCTTGGGTGCTAACACTTTGAGGTTACAATAAACATACATTCAGCATTCAGCTCTTTGAAGTCTACTGAAGGAAGTGAGGGCCATAAAGCCCCTTTGTTCTCCCCCTTCTCTCCCTCTTATGGCAGAATCCAGAGAAGGCAGAATTGGGGTTTTCTATGTTTGATAATTAAAGATGAAATATAATTGGATTCTGACATTGGCACTGATTTCCTGCACGGGGGGGGGAGGGCTGTGGGGGAGACTTGGTGGGTAACTGTCACACGGTTTTACTCAGATCTTGCCTTGCTTTCACTGCTATCAGTTCATTCTTAGTAAAAGTATTAGAGTTGGGGGTTTTCTTTCTTAGGACTTGAACAGAGGCAGACCCGACAACCTGGCTTTTCCAACAGGCAGTGGATAGCACACGGTGTGAATCTGCCACTTGAGTTTTTATGAACTGCTGTCATTTCTTCCCACCTGGCACAACACCCTGTCAATACCAGTTGGAGTTGGCCACAGAGAAAGGAGGCGAACCACCCCTAAATCTTGCCACCTACTCCCAACAGCTGAAGCCAGCTAATATCTCTGCTCAGTGGTACTGAAAGCCACTGAGAGGTGAAGGTCCACAAGATGGACGCACTGCCGCCATGCCAGCTCTGTCACTGTTCATCCACAAGCACAACCAGTGCCATCTTTATACTGAACCATAGCTTGAAATCCAACTGAAGCAGGTCTAGACGATCCACTTCCTCTGGGGTTTTTAGGAGCTGCAGCCTAACCACCCTCTCTACCACTCTCTCCCAAAAGCAGAGGTTGGAGTCTAGAGATCCCATCCTCTTAAGAAGGGGGCGCAGCACAGCCCTCTTCTGTTTTTTCCCCAGAGCTGCTTCTGGCTGCCATTTCTTCCTTGTTAAAATTGTTCACCTTGGCCTTTGCTTCCCATTTGCGCCCCTCGCTGTGGCTATGTGTGCTGCATATTTGTTAAAGCCCACTTTCCTGAACCCCCAAATGAGGTCTTTGCTTGCCCTTAGCTGTGTATTTCTTAACTTAAACATTTGTTTCTGTTCTAGGTGCGGGTTCTGCAAAAAGAGCTTTTAGCCTCCACCTCTGAAGACACCCACCCTTATAAAGAGGAGCTAGAGACGGCCCTGGAGCAGTGTTTTTATTGCCTGTATGGCTTCCCAAGCAAAAAGAGCAAAGCTCGGTACTTGGAAGAGCATTCGACCCCGCAGGTGAGGCTGTCTGGTGCTCAGGAGCAGAGAGGCCTCGTGGCCAGAGATCCCTCCAGCATTTATGATGCCGCCGTGTGCAAAGCTTATGTCTCCCCCCCCCTCTCCATCTCTCTCTCTCTCTCTCTGTCAGAATCCAATCATATTTCATCTTTAATTATCAAATATAGAAACTCCCAATTCTGCCTTCTTTGGATTCTGCCATAAGAGGGAGAGAAGGGGGAGAACAAAGGGGCTTTATGGCCCTCACTTCCTTCAGTAGACTTCAAAGAGCTGAATGCTGAATGTGTGTTTATTGTAACCTATTGTAACCTCAAAGCGTTAGCATCCAGAGAACATTAGCATTAACAAAGAAGAGTATTTGCCTTTCATGTAGTTATCTGAAGTCTCCATCCAGACGGAAGAAAGAAGAAACGGGGTGGAATTGTGATACTTGAAACTATCACTGGAAGGGGGGTTGATTGGGTGGGACTACTGGGGAACCCCTTAAAACCTTGAATGGGAGAGCTTGAACCCCAAGTCCTGTCTAGCATGCCTGCAACCATTTTCTCTTAATAAAGGATTCCTGTTGGAAGAATTATTCCAAGAGTTCTGTCTTCTTAAGATGCAAAGTGGGGTGGGTCCTTACATTAGACAGGACTTGCAAAATTAATCCACCTGGAAGGAAGACCCTTGCCGGGGGATTTTGCAAAAATTTACCATGTCAGACAATGGAGCAAGAGAGGGGGAAAACTCCCTGGAAAGAGAGCCGCTGACCCAGTTGGAACCTTGCCAGATGTTGGGATCCGAGAGGCCAGATTCCTCAGGAGAAGAAGTGGTGGAGACACAGGACCACAAGCCTCGCTGGTCGATGGGCGTTGGAAAGAAAAGTGAGTGGGGAAAGGAATCAAGAAAGGTGACCCTGAGACGGGGGACCAAGCAACCAGAATGGAAGCAGGAGATGGAGAAATCCCTGCACGCAAGTGAAGAGGGAGGAAGCTGGGCACCGTACTCAGACTGGATCCTAGAGAAAGCTATTGACCTGATGAAGAGAACTCTCAGCTCCCTAGGAGAGGAGAATACTGAACCCTACGGCCGCCCCAGTTCCTGGAGCCGCAAAGGGAGAGACACCGAGGGGGACGTGGAACCTGCAACCCCAGGGACATCTACTGATCCAGGAGCTCCCACCCCCTACCGGACCACAGATGGCAATCTGGACGGAAGGCACTACCACCCACAACAGAGGCACCGATCCATTCCAAGACGTCCACCGTTGGAAGTGAAATTCAAAGGGGAGCCAACACGCTTGGGGTTTTTCCTAACCCAAGTCCTCAGCTACATGGAGGAATATGGGCAGGATATTCCCAGCGACAAAGCCCGCATCCGGATCGTGCAATCTGCCCTGGATGGACCAGCTGCGGATTGGGTAGTGAACTTGCATGACTCCAATGCCCCAGAACTCAGTAACTTCAACCGTTTCATGTCCTCTTTGAGAAGACGATTTGAAGACCCCCTGGCTGATCGCAAAGCCCGTGAAAGAATAACAACGATGAGGCAGGGCAAACGCCCAGTGGCTGAGTATACACAAGAATTCCGGGCCATTGCCAGCAAACTGAATTGGCCAGAAGACATCCTCCTTGGCCATTTCAAAGACGGACTAAACTATGATCTATATGATGCTTGCCTGCCCCGAGGGGACCCACATCGACTTGAGGAATGGTACGTCTTGGCAGAGGAAGCAGAGATCGACATATTGAAGAGGCACCGCCGAGGAAAACAATGGAGCCGCCCCCCGCCTGAGCTGACACACCAACCGGTGAAATCATCGGATACAGCCAAGAAGCAAATGAGATGTTTCAAGTGCGGAAGAGAAGGGCATCGAGCTGTAGAATGCCGCTCAAAGGCCCCCCAGCACAACCCAGACAGATCCCAAATCAACAAACCCGGAAAGTATTCAGCTAAGCCAAAAGAAACGGCCATGAGAATGATGGAAATTGCAGAAACCCCCACCTCTGCTCACCAAGGGGAAAGGACTCCAGCCTACACCACAGGGCCGGTGGATGCCTCAGATGACAGCTCGGAGGGCGAACCCCTGGTAAGTGGATGCATCACACCCATCTTCAAAACAGTGACTATATTAATCCCCCCCATGCCCGAAGCTGTGAAGGTGAAAGCCTTAATAGACTCTGGCTGTACCCGCTGCCTCATTAGCCCAACACTAGTGGGGAATCTGGGCATCCCATCCAGGAGACTGGAACAACCAATCTCATTTGGCCAGCTAGATGGATCCATAGCAGGGGGGGTGCCAGCTACCCTAGCCACTTTGCCAATACATCTCTCCCTGGGCAACCATGAAGAGGACTTAACGTTTGTGGTGACCCCAGGTATGGAATGCCCAATGATTCTAGGGATGGAATGGTTGAAAAAATGGAACCCCTGGGTAAATTGGAGGACGACAGAAATCAAATTCCCGAAGGGGGACCCTATGGACTTAAAACCCCAAGGGAGGCTACCAGAATCAAGAATAGAAAAAGCATCCATAGGAGAGGAAAAAAGATTAACAGAAATACCAGAGGAATATAGGGACCTTGCTGAAGTCTTCAGTGAGGAGAGGGCGAATGAGCTTCCCCCCCACCGACCCACAGACTGTACCATTGAATTCAAGCCTGGGGCAAAACTCCCGAAGCCCAGATTATACTCCATGAGCCCAAAGGAGAAGGAGGAAATGGAAAGATTTATAAAAAAAAACCTGGAGAGAGGTTTCATTGAGCCAGCCAAGCCTAAAGTGGCTGCCCCGGTCCTTTTTAGAGAGAAGAAGGATGGCTCTTTACGTTTATGCGTGGATTATAGGGCCCTGAATACAATCAGTGAAAGCAACCTATACCCGCTGCCCCTCATGAAAGACATGCTGTCACACCTATCGAAAGGGAAAATTTTTTCTAAACTAGACTTAAGGGAAGCTTACTATCGAGTGAGAATCAAGGAAGGGGACGAATGGAAGACTGCATTTAACTGCCCCATGGGGTGCTATCAATTCAAAGTCTTGCCATTTGGATTACAAGGGGGCCCTGCAGTCTTTATGCAACTAATCAATGACGTTCTAAGGGAGCACCTGTTTAAGGGGGTCCTTGTTTACTTGGACGACATTCTTATCTTTACCGAAACAAAAGAAGAACACGTCAAACTTGTCAGAGCGGTTTTAAAGAAGCTGCGAGCCGCTCACCTATATGCCAAACTCTCAAAATGCGAATTCCACCAGGAAAGGATAGACTACCTAGGCTATCGCATATCCCCACAGGGCATTGAAATGGACCCAGAGAAGGTCAGAGCAGTATTAGAATGGGCACCACCCCGCACAAGAAAGCAACTACAAAGTTTCCTGGGCTTTGCAAATTTTTACCGCCAATTCATCCCCTCATTTGCACAGATAGCCTTGCCCCTCACTAACTTACTAAAAACGAAGGGAACATCCTCAGTAAAACCTAGCCAGCCACTAACATGGACAATGGAGTGCCAAGCAGCGTTTGAGAGACTAAAGAGACTTTTTTCTGCCGAACCAGTACTAAGGCACCCAGACATGGACAAACCCTTCATAATACAGGCAGATGCAAGTGATGTGGCAGTGGGGGCTGTGCTATTACAAGAAAATGATGATGCAGTATTGCAACCCTGTGCATATACATCTAAGAAACTCACGGAAACAGAACAGCGCTGGCCCGTATGGGAGAAGGAGGCTTATGGGATACGTTGGGCATTACTCACGTGGCGACAGTTCCTGGAAGGCAACAAAATCCCCTTCCAGGTATGGACTGATCACAAAAATTTAGAAGCCCTGAAAACTTCCAGGAAACTCAACCCCAAACAAGCCCGCTGGTCCCAGCATTTTCACCAATTCCAATTTAAGCTCAAACATTTACCAGGAAGAAAGAACTTCCTGGCAGATGCACTATCTCGCATGCCCCAATATAACAGCGCACGAACCACAGACTCTAGACCAATAATGGCAGAGTCACAACTGGCAGCGCCAGTAACCACAAGAACCCAAGCCAAAATAAAACCACAACTGGACAGCCAAACTGGGATTGAATTCAGAAAAAGTTTGGAAACAGATGAATGGTTCCAGAAAAACAAACGTGTGCACAATGAGAGACGGATTGCCTTGGGTAGGGGAAAAGTTATATATACCAACAACTCAAAGACTAACTTTCATGCAACTTTGCCATGACACAAAATCAGCAGGGCATTTTGGATTTGTAAAAACTTTACACTTAATTAAACGGCAATTTTGGTGGCCATCAATAAAAAAGGACATAGAAAGTTATGTTGCCAGCTGCCCAACCTGTGCATCAGCAAAGAGGTTGCAAGGGAAATCGCCAGGGCTGTTACAACCAGTGGCAAGTCCCTCAGCCCCCTGGAGGGAAATAGCCATGGATTTTATAGTGGAATTGCCTGAAAGCAATGGGAATACTGTTATCTGGACAGTCACGGACCTATTTTCCAAACAGGTGCACTTTATCCCTTGCCAAAAAATTCCCACTGCAAAGGCCTTAGCAAAACTTTTCATCCAGCACATTTACAGATTGCACGGGGCACCCCAACGCATCATCTCTGATAGGGGAGTGCAATTTACGTCTGCATTTTGGAAGGAATTTTTATCCCTCTTAGGGACCACTCAGGGATTGACATCTAGCCACCACCCTCAAGGAGATGGTCAAGCGGAACGGTGCCAGTCGGTACTTGAGCAATATTTGAGATGTTTTTTAAATTTCCAACAGAGTGATTGGACGGACTTACTTCCTTTTGCAGAAGTTGCCTACAATAATGCAGTCCACTCCAGCACAGGCTACACTCCTTTTCAAATAGCCAACGGCCAAAGTTTCAACCCTATGCCAGAGTTAACCCCAAAAGAACCAACGATCCCTTCACTGAAAGAATGGATGGAAAACCTACAAAACACCTGGCCAATAGTCAGAAAATCACTAGATGAAGCTAGGCGGGCATACAAAGCACAAGCCGATAAAAAAAGGGTTGAGCCTACACCATTCATTATAGGAGAAATGGTGTACTTATCTACAAAATACCTAAAGTCCCTACAGCCCTGTAAAAAACTTGGACCAAAATATATAGGACCTTTTCCAATTAAAAGGATCATAAATCCAGTAACAGTAGAATTAGAATTACCCAAAAACCTCAGGCAAATACACCCAATTTTTCATTGCAGCTTGCTGAAAAGAGAGCATCAGTCACCTCTACGGCCAAAAATCCCCCCCCCACCACCTCCAATCATGGTGGAGGGGGAACAACACTTCGAAATAAAAGAGATCCTTGACTCTAGGAGATATCATGGAACAACTCAGTACCTAGTTGCCTGGAAACACCTCCCTGCCTCACAAAATGAGTGGGTCCATAAACGTCACGTCAGAGCCCCGAAGCTATTGAAGAAGTTTCACACAGAGTATCCTAACAAGCCTAACTAAATTTTTTACTTGTGTTTTCTTTCAGGTGGATCTCTCTTATTGTTAAGAGGGGCCGGATGTCAGAATCCAATCATATTTCATCTTTAATTATCAAATATAGAAACTCCCAATTCTGCCTTCTTTGGATTCTGCCATAAGAGGGAGAGAAGGGGGAGAACAAAGGGGCTTTATGGCCCTCACTTCCTTCAGTAGACTTCAAAGAGCTGAATGCTGAATGTGTGTTTATTGTAACCTATTGTAACCTCAAAGCGTTAGCATCCAGAGAACATTAGCATTAACAAAGAAGAGTATTTGCCTTTCATGTAGTTATCTGAAGTCTCCATCCAGACGGAAGAAAGAAGAAACGGGGTGGAATTGTGATACTTGAAACTATCACTGGAAGGGGGGTTGATTGGGTGGGACTACTGGGGAACCCCTTAAAACCTTGAATGGGAGAGCTTGGACCCCAAGTCCTGTCTAGCATGCCTGCAACCATTTTCTCTTAATAAAGGATTCCTGTTGGAAGAATTATTCCAAGAGTTCTGTCTTCTTAAGATGCAAAGTGGGGTGGGTCCTTACACTCTCTCTCCATCTCTCTCTCTCTCTCTCTCTCTCTCTCTCTCTATCTATATATATATATGATTTAAAAAATCCCATTTCTATATTGAACAGTGTGTTGTCTAGGTATACAAGTATTAAAATATAATAACCATCACATTCATAATAATCTTATCAAGATACAATCAGATACTAAGAAATAGCAATCAAAATATTAAAAATAGTATTACCCACATTAACATTAATTATATAACAATCAAACTATTTACTAATCCATTATAAGTTTTATTTATGTAATACACATATTCTCATATTTCCAACTTCCTAAACCTCTGTTTTTGTCAACTAACCATTGGTAAAATAAATCCATGTCATACAATATTCCGTTTCTTCTTTTTCTTTAATTTTTATCGTTAACCTATCCATTTCTGCACATTCCAGTATTTTTTAATTATATTCTCTTCTGTAGGAGTTTCTTCATTTTTCCAAAACTGTGCATATACTATCCTAGCTGCTGTTAAAATATGTAAAACTAAATAAGTATTGCCTTTATTGTAATTTCCTTGTAATATGCCCAGTAAGAATATCTCTGGTTTTAAATCTGTATGTTGTTTTATCATTGCTTCCAACCATACATGTATTTTATTCCAATATTTTTTTGCTTTGGGACATGTGATAGCACGAACCTGGTATTTGATTACATTTCCAACATTTAACAGATTTATCTTTGTGCGTCTTCGCTAGTCTCGCAGGTGAAAGGTGCCATCTTTCTGACAATGGTCAGCCACAGGTTTCTAAGACACCTTCCTGATGTTCATCTTTTTTCCCAAATTGTGTCTCAAAATGTAACCCAAAAGGTTTAATCACAGATAGTGAAATGATATTGTCAGTAAAATTAACCTTAGAGCAGTTCTGTCTGTTCAGGACCTTGAAAGGTTATTGCACAGCTGTTCCTTAGAATCCTAGAAGGTAAGAAATCATACAGGTTATGAAATCCAACCCTGTCAACCTGGCGCACAGTACAGGGATCCAAAGTGATCTGTTCTCAACAGATGCTTGTCCAGGCTTTGCTGAAATGAATTGAGCAAGGAGGAGCCTTCTGAGTAATTCTCATTGCATGTGTTGGTTTGATCAATGCATATTTAAAATCTCTTTCATTCTTTCCAAGGTGGAATTGATCTGGGAAGATGCCCTGTTCATGTTTGAATATTTTAAGCCCAAGACCCTTCCTGAATTTGACAGCTATAAAACCAGCACCGTCTCTGCTGACCTAGCTAATCTTCTGAAGAAGATGGCCACTATTGTCCCTCAAACAGACAAGCCTATGCTCAGATTGGAAGAAGTGTCGAGTTACATTGAAGGGACCTTGAGCAAGGTATGAATTATTTTGCTTTTTGGAATGCTTAATATGAGTCACAAGTGCTTTATTTTCAGACTTCAGAAGAGAGCTGGCTGGAGCGATTGGATGAGAAAGACAGGAAAGGTTTTGGTGCACACGGAAACAACTCTCCTTTTCTTGCACTTAAGAAGGTCCTACAAGGAATGAGATTAAACTCTGATCACTGCTGGTGTTGCTCTGTTAATGAAATGTCTGCAAGTCGACAGAGAAGCTCAGAGAGCACCAATTAAACCCTGAGCTCAGAGATTCTCTTCTGTTGCATCCAACTCAGTTTAAGCATCCCTGTTAGAAACCTGCATAGTCCCTGCTTTAAGTAAGCCATCATTAAGTCCTATTATCCATCTGATTTTACAGTTTCTGAGATTCAGTTGGAATCTACTTTCCAACATCTGTTATCCCCTGTCCTGCATTCTGACTTTCTTTTGTGAGATGGAGTTTAAGGTGTTCGAAGTATGTTAACTTATATCATCTCAGCTGCCTTTTCTCACGACTGAACATATCCAGCTCATTGAATTTCTTTTAGTTTTCTATCATCAGATAGTTGTCACTACTGTTCTTTGTACATATTTCAATTTCATAGAATTACAGGATGTAAAGATTGGAAAGGACCTTGATTCAATCCAATCTCTTGCCCAAGAAAGGAATCCACTATTACATTATCCCTGGCATTTGACTTCTATTTAAGGATCCTCCATCACCCAAGGAAGTCTATTCCATTGTTGAACATGTCTTACCATTAGAATATTCTTCCTGTTATCCAGTCAAAATCTGCCTCCTTGTAATTTAGCTCCCTTGTTTAGTCATCTGTTTATTCTTTGCAACCAGTTTCAATAAGTTGATTCAGAGTGGTTGAGATCACTTTAGTGCCTCACCTGATGGTCTCCCAGAAACTAGCTAAAACAGCTTTTCTGGAGACCATTTTGGGAATGCCATTCCTATTTCTACAGTGGATTATTAATGCAATGTTGTCTTAGATTTAGTATGATTTTATTGGGGTAAACTGCCAATGGAGATTATACAACGTATAAAGACAGAAATGCCCACTGACGCACTGGAGGTGTCAGCCCACCCTTAGATAACAGTTGCCTGTTGCTTTCTCTTCTTTTGGCCCTTTCTGGACCTCCAGATGGAACATCTGCTGGCCAGCTTTTGCTAGTCTCCTGAAGGCTAGGAACCTAGGAGGCAGTCCGGACAGCCCTCCCCACCGAGCCAGAAGCTGTCCTGATCCCTGAACCAAAGACGGGTGCCTGATGTGTTTCTCTTTGTTGCCAGGTGCCAGCCCTCCCGGAAGGCGCTGACTTCTCTCCTCCAGTGGTGACTGAGCTGTACTACCTCCTGGCTGACTACCACTTCAAGAATAAGGAACAGTCCAAAGCCATCAAGTTCTACATGCATGACATCTGTATCTGCCCAAACAGGTCAGGCTGGCCAGCTGCTCAGACGGGAGCTTCTGCCCAGTTGCTTCCTTTGACCTTGCCCATGGGCTGCGTTCCATGGGCACCAGGGCCTCCAGAAGGCTGCTGCTGCTACAGATGTTGTCAATCCTGGCAGGAGCAGCAGCAGCTTCTTTCCTGAGCAAAGCCCTTCAGTGGGAAGTAGGTGATGCCAGTGCCGCAGGAGGGAACGAGGGCCACCTCCCCCACCCTCCACCGTGGAGAGAGGCATCTCTTCTTTGATCTGTTCTGCCCTTGAAATGGGCATGAAAATGCCTGATGTGAGCACAGGTCGAAACATGGATGGAGGTCTACTCTGTTATTTTTACATCTGTTACACGATTTTGATATTTGTTAAGAGTACATATTTGTGTTAATTGAATTGCAATCATCCAAAATCAACCCCATTGCTATATTTTGACATTGAAACCGTGAAAGATTTTCATGATTCACAAGATTCTTAAAACAGAGGATATTAAATTCATAAAAGAATAAGAAATGAGCCAGGGAAAACATCCAGGTAGAACTCTGGGGTCTGGGATTGCAGCTTTCAGACGTTCTTTCAGCTGCCTGAAAATGCTCTCAGAATTTCTAACTAGAAATGATACCAGATGCTTTAATTTGGATCCTGAATTGAGCATAAGGTTGGGTGTAAATTGCCCCTTGCAGCTCTTTGATTCTGCACAATATGTTTTTGTTTATAAAATTAGTTAGTACTTCATTGGATCTCCTTTCATTTTTAACTTCACAACAACAACAGGTTGATTGGACACTGAAACAAAACAATTTATATTCCCTTTGCTGATAAAGAGTTTAGAATTAGGCATTAGTTTAGATTCTCAAAGGACTTAGTTCTCGTAGGAAAATGAATGTTATTAGTGTGGCATTAGAGACATAGATTTAACCACTATCATATACAAGTTCAGGAAGTTGAGGCTTAGGAATGGAGGACATGGCAGCTAAAAAGGATTTGGATAGCAAACAGCTGGTGTAAGGACCCACCCCACTTTGCATCTTAAGAAGACAGAACTCTTGGAATAATTCTTCCAACAGGCATCCTTTATTAAGAGAAAACGGTTGCAGGCGTTCTAGACAGGACTTGGGGTCCAAGCTCTCCCATTCAAGGTTTTAAGGGGTTCCCCAGTAGCCCCACCCAATCACCCCCTTCTTCCAGCGACAGTCTTAGGCATTACACTCCCACCCCCTTTTCCTTACTGCCGGCTGGATGGAGACTTCAGAGAGAACTACATGAAAGTAATAGCTCCTTTGTTATGGTTAGTCCTTTTGGTGATATACACATCCAGTTCCTTTGAAGTATACCGAAGGAAGTGAGGGCCATAAAGCCCCTTTGTTCATCCCCTTCCCTTCATCATATGACAGAATCCAGAGAAGGCAGAAATGGTATTTTCTATAGTTGATAACTAGAGATGAAATATAATTGGATTCTGACATCCTGCCCCCTTAAAAAAAAGACATCCACCTGAAAGAAAACAAAACAGGTATAAAAGTTAGTCAGGCTTGTTAGGATATTCTGTGTGAAACTTCTTTAATAGCTTCGGGGCTCTGACATGATGTTTATGGACCCACTCCTTTTGTGAGGGAGGGGGGTGTTTCCAGGCAACTAGGTACTGAGTCGCTCCATTATATCTCCTAGAGTCAAGGATTTCCTTTATTTTGAAATGTTGTTTGCCCTCCACCATGATTGGAGATGGTGGGGGGGATTTTTGGCCGTAAAGATGACTGATGGTCTCTTTTCAGCAAGCTGCAATGAAAAAATGGGTGTATTTGCCTGAGATTTTTGGGTAATTCTAATTCTTCTGTTACTGGGTTTATGACTCTTTTAATTGGAAAAGGCCCTATATATTTTGATCCACGTTTTTTACAGGGCTGTAGGGACTTTAGGTATTTTGTAGATAAGTACACCATTTCTCCTATAATGAATGGTGTAGGCTCAACCCTTTTTTTATCGGCTTGTGCTTTGTATGCCTGCCTAGCTTCATCTAGTGCTTTTCTGACTATTGGCCAGGTGTTTTGTAATTGTTCCATCCATTCTTTCAGTGATGGGATCGCCAGTTCCTGTGAGGTTAATTCTGGCATGGGGTTGAAATTTTGACCGGTGGCTATTTGAAAAGGAGTGTAACCTGTGCCGGAGTGGACTGCATTATTGTAAGCAACCTCTGTGAAAGGGAGTAGGTCCGTCCAATTTGTTTGCTGAAAATTAATAAAACATCTTAAATATTGCTCAAGTACTGAATGACAACGTTCTGTTTGTCCATCCCCTTGTGGATGATGGGTAGATGTCAGTCCCTGAGTGGTCCCTAAGAGGGATAAAAATTCCTTCCAAAATGCAGACGTAAATTGCACTCCCCTATCAGAGATGATGCATTGGGGTGCCCCGTGCAATCTGTAAGTGTGCTGGACGAAAAGTTTCGCTAAGGCTTTTGCAGCGGGAATCTTTTGGTAAGAGATAAAGTGCACCTGTTTGGAAAACAAGTCCGTGACCATCCAGACAACAGTATTCCCATTGCTTTCTGGCAATTCCACTATAAAATCTATGGCTATTTCCCTCCAGGGGGCTGAGGGATTTGCCACTGTTTGTAATAGTCCTGGCGATTTCCCTTGCAACCTCTTTGCAGTAGCACATTTTGGGCAGCTGGTTACGTAACTTTCTATGTCCTTTTTTATGGATGGCCACCAAAATTGCCGTTTAATTAAGTGTAAAGTTTTTACAAATCTAAAATGCTCTGCTGATTTTGTGTCGTGGCAAAGCTGCATGAAAATGACTCTTTGGGTTGTTGGTATAGATAACATTTCCCCTACCCAAGGCAACCCGTCTCTCATTGTGCACACATTTTTGTTTTTCTGGAACCATTCATCTGTTTCCAAACTTTTTCAGAATTCAATTCCAGTTTGGCTGTCCAGTTGTGGTTTTAATTTAGCTTGGGTTCAGGTGGTTACTGGTGCTGCCAGTTGTGACTCTGCCATCATCGGTTTAGCATCTGTGGCTCATGCGCTGTTATATTTCTCCCTAGTAAATGTTTGAGCTTAAATTGGAACTGGTGAAAATGCTGGGACCAGCAGGCTTGTTCGGGATTGAGTTTCCTGGGCGCTTTCAGGGCTTCCAAATTTTTGTGATCAGTCCACACCTGGAAGGGGATTTTGTTGCCTTCCACGAACTGTCGCCACATGAGTAATGCCCAACGTATCCCGTATGCCTCCGTCTCCCATACGGGCCAGCGCTGTTCTTTTTTCTGTGAGTTTCTTGGATGTATATGCACAGGGTTGCAATACTCCATCATCGTTTTCTTGTAATAGAACAGCCCTCACTGCCACATCACTTGCATCTGCCTGTATTACGAAGGGGTTATCCATGTCTGGGTGCCTTAGTACTGGTTTGGCAGAAAAAAGTCTCTTTAGTCTCTCAAACGCTGCTTGGCACTCCATTGTCCATGTTAGTGGCTGGCTAGGTTTTACTGAGGATGCTCCCTTCATTTTTAGTAAGTTAGTGAGGGGCAAGGCTATCTGGGCAAATGAGGGGATGAATTGGCGGTAAAAGTTTGCAAAGCCCAGGAAACTTTGTAGTTGCTTTCTTGTGCGGGGTGGTGCCCAATCTAATACTGCTCTGACCTTCTCTGGGTCCATTTCAATGCCCTGGGGGGATATGCGATAACCTAGGTAGTCTATCCTTTCCTGGTGGAATTCGCATTTTGAGAGTTTGGCATATAGATGGGCGGCTCGCAGTTTCTTTAAAACCATTCTGACAAGGTTGACATGTTCCTCTTTTGTTTCGGTGAAGATAAGAATGTCGTCCAAGTAAACAAGGACCCCCTTAAACAGGTGCTCCCTTAGAACGTCATTGATTAATTGCATAAAGACTGCAGGGCCCCCTTGTAATCCAAATGGCAAGACTTTGAATTGATAGCACCCCATGGGGCAGTTAAATGCAGTCTTCCATTCGTCCCCTTCCTTAATTCTCACGCGATAGTAAGCTTCCCTTAGGTCTAGTTTAGAAAAAAAAATCCCTTTCAATAGGTGTGACAGCATGTCTTTCATGAGGGGCAGAGGGTATAGGTTGCTTTCACTGATTGTATTCAGGGCCCTATAATCCACGCATAAGCGTAAAGAGCCATCCTTCTTCTCTCTAAAGAGGACCGGGGCAGCCACTTTAGGCTTGGCTGGCTCAATGAACCCTCTCTCTAGGTTTTTTTTAATGAATCTTTCCATTTCCTCCTTCTCCTTTGGGCTCATGGAGTATAATCTGGGCTTCGGGAGTTTTGCCCCAGGCTTGAATTCAATGGCACAGTCTGTGGGTCGGTGGTGGGGGGGAGCTCATCCGCCCTCTCCTCACTGAAAACTTCAGCAAGGTCTCTGTATTCCTCTGGTATTTCTGTTAATCCCTTTTCCTCTCCCATGGATGCTTTTTCTATTCTTGATTCTGGTAGCCCCCCTTGGGATTTTAAGTCCATAGGGTCCCCCTTCGGGAATTTGATTTCTGTCGTCCTCCAATTTACCCAGGGGTTCCATTTTTTTAACCATTCCATCCCTAGGATCATTGGGCATTCCATGCCTGGGGTCACCACAAACGTTATGTCCTCCTCATGTTTGCCCAGGGAGAGGTGTATTGGTAAAGTGGCTAGGGTAGCTGGCACCCCCCTGCTATGGATCCATCTAACTGGCCAAATGAGATTGGTTGTTCCAGTCTCCTCGACGGAATGCCCAGATTCCCCACTAGTGTTGGGCTAATGAGGCAGCGGGTGCAGCCAAGTCTATTAAGGCTTTCACCTTCACGGCTTCGGGCATGGGGGGAATTAATATAGTCACTGTCTTGAGGATGGGTGCGATGCGTCCACTTACCAGGGGTTCGCCCTCCGAGCTGTCATCTGAGGCGTCCACCGGCCCTGCGGTGTAGGCTGGAGTTCTTTCCCCCTGATGAGCAGAGGTGGGGGGGTTCCCCAATTTCCATCATTCTCCTGGCAGTTTCTTTTGGCTTAGCTGAAGACTTTCCAGATTTGCTGATTGGGGATCTGTCTGGGTTATGCTGGGGGGCTTTGGAGCGGCATTCTACAGCTCGATGCCCTTCTCTTCCACACTTGAAACACCCAATTTGCTTCTTGGCTGTAGCCAATGGTTTCACTGGTTCGTGTGTCAACTCAGGTGGGGAGCGGCTCCATTGTTTTCCTCGGCGGTGTCTCTTCAATATGTCGATCTCTGCTTCCTCTGCCAAGACGTACCATTCTCAAGTTGGTGTGGGTCCCCTCGGGGCAGGCAAGCGTCATATAGGTCATAATTTAGTCCGTCTTTGAAATGGCTAAGGAGGATGTCTTCTGGCCAGTTCAGTGTGCTGGCAATGGCCCGGAATTCTTGTGTATATTCAGCCACTGGGCGTTTGCCTTGCCTCATCGTTTTTATCCTTTCGTGGGCTTTGCGATCAGCCAGAGGGTCTTCAAATTGCCTTCTCAGAGAGGACATGAAACGGTTGAAGTCGTTGAGTTCTGAGGCATTGGAGTCGTGCAAGTTCACCACCCAATCTGCAGCCGGTCTGTCCAGGACAGATTGCACGATTCAGATGCGGGCTTTGTCGCTGGGGATGTCCCGCCCGTATTCCTCCATGTAGCTGAGGACTTGGGTTAGGAAAAACCCCAAGTGTGTTGGCTCCCCTTTGAATTTCACCTCCAACGGACGTCTTGGAATGGATCGGTGCCTCCGTTGTTGGTGGTAGTGTCTTCCGTCCAGATCGCCATCTGTGGTTCAGTAGGGGGTGGGGACTACTGGATCAGCAGATGTCCCTGGGGCTGCAGGTTCCACTTCCCCCTCGGTGTCTCTCCAGTTGTGGCTCCAGGAGCTGGGGCGGCCGTAGGGCTCAGGATTCTCCTCTCCTAGGGAGCTGAGGGTTCTCTTCATCAGGTCAATAGCTTTCTCTAGGATCCAGTCTGAGTACGGTGTCCAGCTTTCTCCCTCTTCACTTGCGTGCAGGCATTTCTCCATCTCCTGCTTCCATTCTGGTTGCTTGGCCCCCCGTCTCAGGGTCACCTTTCTTGATTCCTTTCCCCACTCACTTTTCTTTCCAACGCCCATCGACCAGCAAGGCTTGTAGTCCCGTGTCTCCACCACTTCTTCTCCTGAGGAATCTGACCTCTCGGATCCCAACATCCTGCAAGGTTCCAGTCGGGGCTCTCTTTCTGGGGAGTTTTCCCCCTTTCTTGCTCCATTGTCTTGCTCCATTGTCCACCCAATCACCCCCTTCTTCCAGTGATAGTCTCAGGCATTACACTCCCGCCCCCTTTTCCTTACTGCCGGCTGGATGGAGACTTCAGAGAGAACTACATGAAGGTAATAGCCCCTTTGTTATGGTTAGTCCTTTTGGCGATATACACATCCAGTTCCTTTGAAGTGTACCAAAGGAAGTGAGGGCCATAAAGCCCCTTTGTTCACCCCCTTCCCTTCATCATATGACAGAATCCAGAGAAGGCAGAAATGGTATTTTCTATAGTTGATAACTAGTGATGAAATATAATTGGATTCTGACAGCTGGTAAAGATGGGCTACAGGCTTTGGTGAAGGATCAGGAAGGGCTGGCAAAACTGTTAAATTGAGCAGTGTTTGCACCACTGAAGAGAATTATTTGGCTCTATCTGAAGACCAAAAGAGAAGTAACAACCCTATAGGACAATTGTAAACCAGCATGGAGGGTACGTACTGAGTTGCAGGCACTCAGGTCTTCTGCTAAAGGAAAGGTAGCAGGCAACAGTTGCTAGCCAGACTGAAGAGAGAACTGCCATTAATCTGTGTGACAGCCCCCCCCCCACAACTTAACCTCTAACATTTATAAGGTTTAAAAAAATAGACTGGTGCACACACACATTAAGCTTATATTAAAATCCGGACACCTATATACATGGTATATACACCTATATATATTCATAGATACTGCTATGGAAGGTCAGGCAATTAGCCAACTAATTGTATGTTGTATTTACAAAGCTTAGCTGAAAAAGCAGCTACTACACCCTTTGATGCCTCTCTTTGGGTCAAGGTCCCTGAGTCTGTATGCCCACCCTCTGGAAGCTCCCTTGAGCGGACCCTGGTGAGAAGCCAGGTGCCCTGGGGGACCTCAGTGCTCGGCCCTGCTGGGTTCTTATGTGCACAGAGTGGGATTGTGGCAGTGTGTTCTCTTTCAGGTTTGACTCGTGGGCAGGGATGGCTTTGGCCCGGGCCAGCCGCATTCAGGATAAGCTGAACTCCAATGAACTGAAGAGCGACAGCCTCATCTGGAAGCACTCCAGCCCAGTGCTGAGCTGCTTCAAACGAGCCCTTGAGATCGATGGCTCCAACCTCTCGCTCTGGATAGAGTATGGCACCATTTCCTACGCTCTGCACTCGTTTGCCTCCCGGCAGCTGAAGCAATGGAAAGCAGAGCTGCCCTTGGAGGTGGTGCAGCAGGTGGGCACCAGTGTCGTGGCGCGAAGGGCTCACCGCCCTGCTCATGAACCACTGCTGAGCCGGCTTCCTCTTTCAGATGGAAGAGCGGCGCAATAGCATGTTGGAAACGGCCCAGCACTGCTTCACGTCGGCTTCCCACTGCGAGGGTGACGGAGACGAAGAAGAATGGCTGATCCACTACATGCTGGGGAAGATTGCGGAGAAGCAGAAGCAGCCCCCGGGATTCTACCTCTTTCACTACAAGCAGGCGGGTCACTTTCTGCATGAAGAGGCAGCCCGGTACCCCAAGAAGATCCATTATCATAACCCCCCAGAGCTTGCCATGGAGGCCCTGGAGGTAAGGCAAGGTCCAGACCCGCCAGTCATGCTGCCAACCGCCGGGTGATCCATAGGTAGCAGTTGGGCCAATGCTACCTTTACATAAAGGTGGCCCGTGGTTCAGGTGAAGTCCAGCTGCTCTTCCACTTTGGCCTTCAGTTGATGAGGGCCTTGCAAGTTGCCTCAGCCTCAGGGAGGAGGCTGGCCGAGCTTGAGCCTCCCTTCCCTTGGGGGCTATAGACAAGGGGCTTGATGTCTATCCTGGACTGTGTCGTCTTCAAAAAATGCTAAAACTTGGGAATTTGAGAAAGGTTGCATTCCTGTGCATCTCCTCAATCTGGTTCCTACTTCCAGCCCCTTCTAGTCCTAACTGGGGGTGAGGGAGGTGCAAGAGAAGCATGTCTGCCATTCCTCTAATTTGACATCGAGCCCCTTTGGCTGGATGATTCCACTTTTTAAATATGTAATTCAATGCAGCAGACATGCCCAAGACTCCTTCCTTCTCCTTCTTCGGTCACAACCACCCCCACCCAGTTTGGCCGAAAGTCACCCAGCCACCTTTCCTGCCAAAGGAGAAGATGGAGCCCTGTGTGGCAGATGCACCTCAGCACCAGATGCTGGAAGGGCCCCCAAAGAGAGAGAGCTGGGTGGGACAGAGCAACTTTGGGGGAAAGGTGCAGGTGCTGCTCTCAAAATCATCTGACTAAGTGAGGACTAATACAAGTAGTCCTCGCTTAACAACCATTTGTTCAGTGGTCATTTAAAGTTATGACAGTGCTGAATGGTACATACACCTAGGCCTGAAGTTATAGCAGACTCCCCACGGTCATGTGATCAAAACGTGGTTGCAGGCCACCCATATTACAACCCCAGGGCACTTCAATTCCCCTCACCTCCTATCTCCCTCCCCCTTCGGCCATCCTCTGGGACAGGGCATGGGTGGCACATTGGTTAGAATGCAGCACTGCAGGCTCAAGATTGACTCACCCTCCCATGATTCCGAGGTCAGTAAAATGAGGACCCAGATTGTTGGGGGCAAGAGGCGGACTCTGTAAACTGCTTAGAGAGGGCTGTAAACCACTGTGAAGCGGTATATAAGTCTAAGTTATATTGCTATTGGGCTGAAGGAAAGACCCGTGGCTTCAGTGGTCTCGGCCAGCCACACCATCCCTGGGCCTGTTTCAGTCCCAGCACAACCATTGAGGAGTGCCACCTCAGGCCCCATGCCGTAAATAGCATCCTGCAAAAAGGCCAGACACACACACCCTACCCTGCCCTCTGCAGGCCATGCTGCACCCAGCTGGCCTTAGGCAAGGCAGCTGCTGGTCATGTTCATACCATTTTCCAAATAGAATAGGATAGGATCGGGTGGAATAGGAATGGGATACTTTATTTGGCCAAGTATTTGTTTTCGGTGCAGAAACTGTCAGTGTACAGTACATTGCAAAGCAACAGAGTAATAATACTCATAATAATGATACCAATAAGAGGGGTAGTAGAGAAGATGAGAAGGAACCCAGAAACTTGAAGGACTCTGCTCTTTATACTGTGCTGTCAGACATAGTAAAAGGTGATAGAATAGGAGGGCTCCTCCTAAAATCCATTCTCATCTCTACAGTTTGAAGAACAGCAGGCATAGCCTTGTCATGATGCTCTGGAAGGGCTTGGAAACTCTCTGAAGGCTCTCTGAAGCATCATGAGAAGGTGTGTGCCATTTGGAGAGCAGCACAAGGGTCCTAGAGAAGAAGGCCTAACACGGGCCAGGGCGGCATGCCTCATCTGCAACAGGACATCTTTTCTGTCCGTTGTGGTCTTGAGATACATTTCTCCCTGCGTCGCTGCAGTGATGGGATCTTGCTTATCTCCCTCAAGATCATCATCCTTCTCTTCTACATGTGAAGATCTCCTCCTGCTCTCCTCAGACACTGAGAATAGCCCCTCCACAACTGAGAGGAAGAGGAAGGAAACTGCCCTGAGCTGAAGTCTGGTGGCCGCCTCGGCCACCTTGCAGGCAGCAACCTCTGCACAGGGCAGCAGGTTGGTTGAGTGAGGCCTTTATTCAAGTTGGCTTTATTAGACTGCCCCCTCAGGCACAATAAGAGGAATGGGGACACTCAACTGCCATGCTGGGCACCACAAAAGACGCGAAAGGCCCTCCAGTGGCTTGAAGGGCTTCAACTGCCTTGAGAGGTGCAGCATGGTCCTGCCAGTTGGATACTGCCAAGAAAGCTGACTCCAGACCCCTTTAAGGTGGACCTGACTTGCATTGCTTTTCATTCTCTCTCCTGTATGGATTTTGTAAGATGACCGGATTCAAAGACGCTTTTGCCACAGTGAGTTTCTTTCTGGTAGATCTACTTTCGGCTCCACGCATCAATCCTAAAACTGGTGGGAATACCTGACTCGGGAGCAGATGCTGAGCTGCTGGTGACTTTTATGAAGGAAGCAGCCGAGGGGCCCTTTGCCAGGGGAGAGGAAAAACACACCCCCAAGCTCTCTGAAAAGTGAGTCTCTTTTGTTGATGGCTTCAGCCCACAGGGAGGGAAATGGGCAGAGTTTGCTGGGGAGGGGGGGAAGTGGCACTAAAAGCAAACCTTTGAAGACATATTACGGCATTTGGACATTCTGACATTTTGAATTGCCCCGTTTATACGTTCTGTCTGAAGTTTTAGCCCTGAAGGGGAGAGATGGATGATAAATGAAAAGCTCTGCTGAAATCTTCCCAGGCCTCTGGACAGCTGGCTAGACATAAGAAGGACCATCCTCTGTAGCACTAAAAGCCTCTCGGGACTTTGGTTTGCAGAGCCGCCAGCTGGACATCTCCAAGAGACGCAGTCTTCCCCACCCCCTGGGGGTCCCAGACTGAGGATCCAGGCAGCATGCCTGAGGCAGGGAATCATGGGAGGGAAGGGCGGAGGGCCCACCTAGTTCCCCCCATCAAGTGCTGGGGCCCATCTTGAGACAGGGGTGTGTAGGGCAGGGCTGGGAGAGCAGAAGTAGCTGACCACTCTTCTTCTCCAGCTGTAAAAATCATGGCGGGGGGGGGGAGGTGTTAGGGTGTGGCTCTCATCACCCTTGAAGCCATGCTGGGTCAGGGATGGGATTGGGACTCCATGAAAATTCCTCACTGACAACAGAACATGCTTGCTCTGAATGCTGGGGACCCTCACTAAGGGGCTAAGCAAACAGGGTTCTGGCTATCCCTGCAAATAATTTTATTCCCACAAAGATAAAAAAAATCAAATGCAACATTCCTCTTTTTTCACATTTTAAGATTTATTTTGAGCAGAAGATTGGTTTTGCTCTCTCACCCAGTTGTCACCCGGTAACACAAGGCTGTTCAGGAGTTTTACACAAGCCTTGCGCTTGTTGGATTGTCCTCTGCACAGCTGGGCAAACAGGTCTAAGCAGCAGCTGCCATCCTTATGCCCCTTTTCCAGTCTGGGTAAGTCAGGGTTTAGGTCACAGGTCGGCAACCTGCGGCTCCAGAGCCGCATGTGGCTCTTTGAGCCTTCCTGTGCGGCTCCCAGCCTCCTCTGCCATTTGCAGACAGAGACAGAGACAGAGAGAGGCAATTGCTCTCTCTTTCTCTCTCTCTCTCTCTCTCTCTCTCTCTCTCTCTCTCTCTCTCTGTGTGTGTGTGTGTGTGTGTGTGTGTGTGTGTGTGTGTGTGTAAAAAAGAGTGGACTCACAAAGCTTATTGGGCGGAGCTCCTCCCTTTGCTGCATCTCTGCAGGAAGCAGGAAGGGCAGGAGAGAGCTAGCTAGCCCAACTATGCTGACTCAGGAATTCTGGGAGTTGAAGTCCATGAGTCATAAAAGAGCCGAGGTTGCTTACCCCTGAGCTTGTTGGACAACAGCTTGAAGCCAGCTTGCCAGGTGAGCAGAAGATCGGAGAAAGGGAGGGGGGGGGGAGAGAAAGAGACGGAGAGAGAGAGAGAAAGAAAAGAGGGGGGAGAGGAGAGGAAGAGGAAAGAGGGGGAAAGGAAAAAGAGAGAGAAAGAAAGAAAGAGAAAGAGGGAGAGAGGGAGGGAGGGAAAGAGACAGACCCTTTTGACATCTAAAATGAAGATAACACTGCATATATCCTTTTTTACCTTTATTATAGGTGTGTGTATATATGTATGTGTGTGTATATATATATATGTGTGTGTGTGTATGTGTATGTGTGCATGTGTGTGTGTATGTATATGTATACACACACACACACATACACACAATAAAGGTAAAACAGGATATATGCAGTGTCATCTTCATTTTAGATATCAAAAGGGTTTTGCGGCTCCCGGTGTTTGTTTTCGGTGGAAAACGGGTCCAAGTGGCTCTTTGAGTGTTTTGGGTTGCCTACCCCTGGTTTAGGTGATCCAGAAGTTGGCAGAGTTTTGCAGCTTTTATCAATGGCAGTGACTGATCAGCATTCCAGAACAATCACCTCAGAGGTGCTTACAGTTTGGGTGCCAGATCTCAACCATGTAGGAAGACAGAAATGTTTTTTTACATTCTTTTCAGACCACATTAAAATGTGTGGTAGTATTCCTTGAGAATTTAGAATTGGAAAATATCAAAATAACTTTTGCATAAAAACAAAAGCGGAATAATTTATATCTGCAGAGGAAAGGCTCCAAAAGTAACTCAGCAGAACATAAATTATTTATCACCAAAATAAACCAGGTTGATTGTACTAAATCAGTCTAAAAATAACTAATGTAATTTTCAACATAATTTATTAGGGCTGCAGCATTTTAATACAGGTAGTCCTTGACTTACAACCATTTGTTTAGTGAACATTTGAAGTTATAACAGCACTGAAAAAAGTGACTTATGACCACTTTTCACAGTTACGACATTGCAGCATTCCCAGGGTTACGTGATCAAAATTTGGGTGCTTGGCAACTGGTGTGTATTTATGAGGTTTGCAGTGTTTCAGATTCACATGATCCCCTTCGGTGACTTCTAACAAATTCAGTGGAGAAGCCAGATTGACTTAACAAACCATGTCAGGGAATTGCGTAGCTGGTGTCCAAATGAAGTCATAGACGCTGACATGAACTTGTAGTTTTATATAAATAACTGTATTTACATCAGATGAAATAGGCAAACAGGAGCATAGTCAGGTAAATCAACACAGCAGGAACATCGTGAGGTAAATTACAGAGCCCACACAGGAAAAAAGGTGGCGATGGGGAATTCCACCTCTGCACACATAGCAACCAATCACAGCACAGATTGCCTCACTCAGGAGCCAGCAATCTACAACCAATTAACCACAACTGTGTTCTGGCTCATTGCATAACCCCACTGCACCAGCTATTAAATTTGAATATCTTAAACCAGGTTACTAACTTAACAACTACAGTGATTCACTTAACAACTGTGGCAAGAAAGATCGTAAAATGGAGCAAAATTCACTTAACTGTCTTGCTTAGCAACAGATATTTTGGACTCAACTGTGGTCACAAGTTGAGGACTACCTGTATTTTGATTTCTGAAAAGTGCATTGAGTTACAAGTATGTAGCATTTTTCCACTGGAGCCTCCTATGCAGACCTCCTGCATAAGAAGGGAAGGTCAGGGAGCGTCTGCAAGTGCAGCTGCCAGCATCTGTCACAACACAGTGTAGTACATACGGCTCCACCACCACAACCATTATATTCAATTCTTTTTTTAAAAATCTTTTTATTAATTTTTCAATGTTACAATTATATCTTTGAAAAGCAACGTGGTGTCTGAGTTACAATAATTCCATTACATACAAATATTATTAGTACAAATCTCCAACTATTACAGCCAATATTTCCTCTCTTTTTTCTCTTAATACATATTGTCTCTTGTTTAAATTAGTATACTTCTTATTCTATCCATCAGCTACTTAATAGCTTTCTTACATTTATCAATAATTTTATATGTCTTATTTATTTTAACATTCCATCAATAACCTTATGAATTTTCCCAGCTTTAATTTTGCATTGATATTTAAATTAAACGTTTAATATTTATCATTTCCAAATTTTTAAATGACCCCAATTCCCTTTGTGACAATTTCCCCCAATATCTAGTGTTCCGGATACATATCTATCTCACTTCTGTATCAACAGATTAGTAATACAGTATAATATTCTTATTTTCATTATAATGTCCAGATATTATAGATTCAATAACCAAAATTTCTCCCATTTCAGCATTCTTCCTTATGTCCACTTTCTCATATTTAAGCTTATAATTTTTATTCTTATCACTACATCAAAACATGTTAATTACGTTACATCACTCTTAATATATATATGTGTGTCTTAATCACCTTTATCTAACCTTTATAAACAACTCAATATTTCAATTTAACTGTTGATATTTATGCATCTAGGTTTTAATTAGCCAACATTTTTCTTTATCTTCACATCATAACAATATCTCGTATAGCGTTACCTCCTCAGAGGCCGCCAAAAACCAGGCCCTCCCAGCCCCGTCCCCCTTTGTCAAGCCCTGCAGTACTGTTCTCTAGGGGTTGATAAGATGTCTCTTCCAGCCGGAGCTCATGCAGATTAGTAGGTAGCAGGCTCTTGTCGTTAAGGAGGAGCTTCCAGGAACGAAAATAACCAGCCACGATAGTCAATGCTATGATGATATTCAACAGCCCAAGGCTGTTATAGCAGCAGGAATAAAGGATTCCTCAGCAATCGTTCAGAGTCAAGTGGGATGGAGGAAAACCCCGGCTCCAGACGGTAGTAGAAACAACAACAGTCAATGTGCTGTAGCAATAGCTCATCCCCCAGGGCAACTCCCCCACAATGTCTAAAACCTGTACCAGCAGCAATAGTCACAGTCCAAATAGCCTCCAGGCTTTGCAGCAACAGTAGCCACCACCAGTCTCTCCTCTCCTTCTGTTGCTTCTTCTCAGTCAGGTCTCAGCGTCAAAGCCCTCCCCCCCCCTTTATCTTTATTGTTAAAATCTGAGGCTAGGAGCCTCAGCCAACTCCTTTCTACACACTCCCCCTTGCATCCATTTGAGATATCCTCCTTACGAAGGAAGCAATAAAGCTCCACTCTCTCTCTCTCTCTCTCCTCCGTTTGAGATACCCTCCTTACGAAGGAAAGCAATAAAATTCCACTCCCCCTCTCTCTAGCCTCTGTTTAAAATATCCTCCTTATGAAGAAAAGCAAATAAAACTTCCACTCCCTCTTTACCTTCACCTGACGAACTGCAACAGCCACACCACACCGTCCATTTCCTTTCCTTCCCTTTTCTATATTTTCCTTCTGCCCACGCCGGCCACACCCAAAGCCAGCAGCAGCTGTCCCAATTTCTCCCTTCCCAACCAAGCTCCTGCAAACACTCTCAGACAGCCCCACTACACTCGTATTCAAAATACGGGTCTTGTCTACTTAGATATATTATATTTTAAACCTCCTAAATATGTCCACACTCCTTTCTTCTTCAGTCTTATTCTGGCTTTTTTTCTTTGCCAAATCATCTTCCATATTCTTGCTTCAGGGTCCTCAAAGAATTCTTGTA